CTTGCAAAATGTTTGGTTGGAAATTTTCCAAACACCTTAAAGACACTGAAAATGTCTTACACAGTGACATAAACTACATCCAGGGGGTTTTGCTGATGAGGTGGCTACCCTTTTTTTATCAACAAGTTTCAAAATTTTTGAGGAAGTTCCCCAGTTGGCAAAAAACTTGTTTCAGAACGGAATTTTTTGCAAGTGAGTTTTAAACATCATGTTTTTTTAAATCGCGTTTTTCTAATTTTGCAAATTATAACCCACCTGTTTAAATTTTAAATGCACTGTTAGGAGAATGAGGTGGATAATTTTTGACAAAAATAACAAAGCATTTCCCTGCTTCATATTCATATGCTCAGGTGCTGAGCTAAATCTTTTGTATTCCATAGCCTATTTGAAGGGAAGTTAGCTGCATTGTTTTGCTTTGCATTGCATTACCTATTTTGTTAGGACAAATCTAGCCTTATTGGTTACAGCTAGGTGCAAATGGAAAAGAACCATCATACAAAAAACATTCATAAAATTCATTCTCACATTTTAAACAGATAAATTAAGAAAAGACAAAAATTAGCATTGACTACAAAAATTTACAAGTTTACAAATTGGTGATTATCTTTGGCTTGGCCACCAATAAGGTGCTGAGGCAGTAAGATAAACTTCATTGCCATTCAAATCAGAAACTACTAAGCTTTTTGATTCGGATACTTCCTTTATTCTTAAAAGCCCCAGTCCATACTGTCCAGTCATTACACAAATTTTGCCAGCCCCTTTTCCTGTATCTGTTTTAACTGGAGTTTGGGGAGCCAGCTGTGGGTATTCCTTAATCTTCTCCTGAGGTAACAACTGTATGGGCATTATTCTTTTGCGTATTTGGCCAACATGTTGTGTCCTTGCTGTCAGCTCTTGGCCAATGTAGCAGCCTTTTGAAAAATTCACTGCAAGAAGAAAGAATATATTAAGCTAGTAATTACCTCATAGTGTACAATGTTGTACAATCTAACTGAAAAACATCAAAACATATGGAAATAACATGCCTTGAGTTGAGGTTAATGTATGATATAAATATTGCAAATTTGCAGATATATTTATAGATAAATATAATGCCAGGTGCAGACTGGCATCACTTTACCAGGGTATACTGCTGCTAGCATAAAGAGGCTGATATGGTATGATTAATGGGTTCTGGGCCTCAATGGGGAGCATGGACCGGAAACTTTTGTACACAAAACTTGTGTACCAAAAACTATAAAATGAATTTGGATACACAGATAAAAGCTTAAAAACTGGCGCAATTACGATATATCTGTGCAAACCTCCGTTGATCCAGGCAAGATTATATTCTAATGGAAGTGCATTGCCTTGTGGAATTTCATCAATACCCTCTGCTACACCCAGCTTATAACGATGCTCATCATAGACAGCTGGGCCAACTGAAATATGTGGTCCAATATTTAACAAGTCAACAGGTGACTGATTCCAGGGTACAAGCATCCTTATCCCCAACGCATCAAGCCTTGGATCTTTGTAAGCAACAATCTTTTGGTCACTTTGAATGTCTGTTTCAATCAAACCACTTTCAGAGAACATTGCCCAAACATCAACTTCACTGCTGGCATCAACGAATTCTACTTTCGCACGCAATTTATACATCTTCAAAACCTTAACAATGCCTTCAACAGCCGCACTGCCAACTTCCAAAAAATATTCGCTATTTTCATTAGGAACAGAGTAAAGAAGGGCATCATAAAGCACCCTTCCTTGAGAATTCAGGAACATAGAAAACATAATATTACTGTCTTCATTTTCCAGTTGTGCTAGATCGTTTGTTATCATTCCTTGCAAAAATTTAGCACTGTCTTGACCTTTGATTCGAATAACTCTCCTGTCATCCAGCTTGACAAGTTTTGGTAAACTCGGTTTCCTAATTTTAGTTTGCGCGTAATGTCGAAGAAATGATATGCAGTATGAAAGCTGTGACCTGCCCCTTGGCCTAAACAAGGAAGCCATTCTTCATTCACTAACACTTCTGCCAGAAATACTTGGGTCTGAAAATTCCAACAAGGATGTAGCAATAAGCGTGCAAACTTTCGACAAACAAGTCAATTTACAAAATTGCTATTGTTAATGTCCTCTTTTTACCATGAGTTGCCATTCTAATCTCAGAAATTTTGAATCTTGTCCAGGATCACTGGTTGTAGTTGCTTTTTTATCACAGGGAAACAATGGATAGAGACAGCTACGACTACGAGCACCGCACTCTACACCCAACTCTTTCATTTTCACTTTCTGTTTCAAGTTTCCGATATACACTCTTTTTTTATAAGAACAATTTTATAAGAACACGAGCCTCAAAATAGGTCAAAAGTTAAGAACAAATTAAAACAAGCTGAGGCTGAGCTTCTGCAAAATGCAATTTTGAACAACGTTTTTTCTCAAAATCGAGGATTTTTAGCGATGTGTGGGTGCTTTTTCGTTGAATATTCAAATTTGTCAGCAAATTAAGGCTGTCCCACTCACTTTGTTGGCAAATGAGGCCCGAACACCTCCTTAGAGCGAGAAAGCTAGCAAAAGCACTGCTTACACCCACTTAATTTAAGAACAAATTAAGAACAATCCAGCCTCAGATTTTCGAAAAAATTAAGAACAGTAAGCCTGAACTTAAATTTACTGGTTCTTATAAAAAAAGAGTGTAGACCTTTTGCTGCAGAAATTTTCCATCCCAATTTCTCAACATAACTGACGACCTTTTACCGAAGAGGATACCCCTTGTGATACTAAACTGCTATTTTTTCGGAAATTAAACATGATTTTCTGTTTTTATCTACGTGTTACATTTTGAGAGGAAAGATTTAAAAGCTAAATATAACGATTTCTTCACTTCTTCAGCTGTTCTGAATCAGACTACACTCATTTTTTTTATAAGAAACAAAAATCGATGTTGAGTACTCCAGTTTCTTAATGTTCTGGAAATTTCAATACTCATTGTTTCTTAAGAGTTTCTTAATTATGATGTCATGAATGATGTTATGAAATGTTCGTGACCTTTATCACGTCAAGAGATTCGCTTCCGTTCCGATGCTGTATTTAAATGTGGGAAGTATATTTTTATCCTATGTGTCTTAAGTTCTAGGCCAACAGGGCAATCTTGTTCTTGGATTTTACAAAATTTCGTTGTTCTCAGTTTTATCACATTTTAATAGTTTCTCAATTTTTTTGCTTCGAGTTCCTAATAAACAGTCATCCCCGGACTATGCCCGGACTTTGTCAACCGCAATATGTGGGTATCAATTTCAATGTGAACATATTTTCAAGTTAATTTCTTTGTGATGATTGTTGAAGTTTTGAATCATGAGACAAAGAAACGCTCGAACCGTTTATTTGCTAATTGCCATAGAAAATACAATGGCGGATGCTTTGTTGCTGATCGTTTCGAAACACTGGAAAACCATGGCAACAGAACCGCTTCCGCTAACAAATGGACTAGTTTGTTCATACGCAAAGCAAATGAGGTATTTGCGTTTAGATCATATACAAGAGATTTTGTATTGAATTTACAATAAAGTCAGCAAACAGATTACGTACACAGATTACTGGAATGCGTTGCCATTTCAAAGGCACCTGATTATGTTTTGCTTTGATTTAAAGTTTGGTACCAAAGATTACGCATTGACTATGAAAATTTAGAATTTCGGTGAATCTTTCAGCAGACGGCATTAAAGTGATGAAATAAAGGTTGGTGTATCCAAAGTCTGGATCTACATCTTCGATTTTCCTGCGCGCCTACAGACCCATTACTCGACTGCTACTCAATGCTGTGGGTTGGTTTTTCTGATAGCAAGCCTCAAGGAAACAATGCTAAACTGACTTGTAGCTAATTGACAAGGTAAATACGAATGCTTTCGTTTTTAAAACAACTTTAACTTGATTATAACCCATAACTGATAACACAACACATTCATGAGAAAGAATTCAAAATATCCGTGTGCCTTCGAGGTTAATTGATAACCTTTGACTTTTATGCTCACGGCTGGTAGAGGAACTGTTGTTGCGAGAATCAATTGGTCCAATGTCCTTGTGAAACAACGTAGCGACCCAATATGCACTTATATGACAACAAGTGTAGCATAAGAGGGTCGTCGGAAGCGGGAGGGGATAGGGGTGGTACCTCTTAATAATTTCCGAAATTTTTAATATGAACCTAACAGCAAAGTACTGTATGAGAAGTGGCAATTGCTTTTCTTCCAGTCCACCCTCAAAATGGGTTTTGTACAAACTACTCTACAAAATACCACATGATGAGATTGTACAAACTTGATAAAGCTAAATAAGGTGACTTCATAGCAAAACCAGATACCCACAATGTGCCTGCCAAAAGTCTTGGAACACTGACATAAATTTCCAAGGTCAAAATCATTCATCCCCCTCTCCCCTACAGAACAATGTTGGTTTACTATCAAACGGGTTAGGATTTTAGGAAGCACTTTCTTTTGCGCTTCTTTTATGATATTTCTCTAAATCATCAACATTGTTTTAGGGGGAAGGGGCGGAAGTAGCAATTTTTTTCATGAAAGGAATGAAAGATATCAAATGCAGCGTAAATTGCTGGGTGTTCCAACAACCGTTCAGGTACTTTTGGCAGGCATTGCAGTTACCAAAGTCGTTATTGAGTTTGAAAACATTTTTTATTGATAAGAAACTGCTACATAGGAAACTAGTACTAGGTTGGTCCATAAGAAACTAGGCTCAAGAAAAATTAAGAAATTGTAAAATTTCCATTTTTAAAAAAAGAGTCAAACAGTTTCAGTTTGTTGATTTTATTTTTGAGAACATAGCAGCATACTTTGGATTTTGATCTGCATGGGTTTTCGCGATGATCTACGTTTATATTCTTCCAAATTTTTCAACCAAAAACAATAAGGCAATTTTAGGTACCGAAAATAAGAAACCAACTAAGAAACTTTTAGTACTAAAACGTCAAAATTTGGATGTCAACTTGTAAAACTTTTAGAACTTAGTGCTGATTTAAGTTTCTTGTAAGAAAAAAGACGTGTATGCTTATCGAGCAGTTGCCCTTCCCCTCGAAGTGAAGTCTGGTCATCTCAGTGACACGAACCTCACAGAGACCATTGGATCTGTAGTCCACGACCCAAACGACTACGCCCTCCTCGTATCATTCATTGCTATTTGCTTCTGTGATCACCTGTATTTCGTAAACAGTAGTATAGAAGGGAAAGAAATAAACAACAGTGTCCAAGCCTTCCAATTTTCTCAATCATTACTCTCAAACCACAGTTTGTTAAACGTAAGACCTAGGATAAGTTATGTTATTATGCTTCAGGGTTTCGAATGGAAAACCTCCCCCTCCCTAGTCTTTCCTTTTCGTAGTAAAGGGAAAACATTTCAATCACAGGTTTACACTGTCAATCACTCTTTTTACAACAACCATTAAATTGAAGTTCAGGTTGGCTGTTCCTAATTTTTTTGAAAATCTGAGGCTAGATTGTTCTTGATTTGTTCTTGATTGATTAGTTCGTAAGCAGTGTAATTGCTAGCTATCGCGATGTTCAGGGCTTGTTTGCAACAAAGTGAGTAAGACATCCTTTACTTGCCGACAAGTTTGAAAATTTGCCCAAAAGTACCTCTAGATGGCAGAAACTCCTTGTTTTGAGATGAAATTTTTTAAAGGGCTTTCACAGTATTGCTCAAAGTCATCTTTTACAGTAGCTCAGCCTCAGCTTGTTTTTAATTTGTTCTTAACCTTTGAGCAATTTTGTGGCTCGTATTCTTATAAAATGGTTCTTATAAAAAAAGTGTATTCCCCTGCAATTTGATACATTTCGGAGTCAGTTCTTTAGACAATGGTTAAACAGCAGCATTTAGTGTTTAGCATTTCAACTATGGTCTTCTGTATGCAATGGGATAACTTTTCAGAAACTGAACATCATTATTGTGGGTTTTAATACGATAACTTCGTAGCCAGTCGCATATGATTAAGCCAGATGTCATAATCTGCAATGGAAAATCAGATATGAATATGGCCGACAGAGAGGAAGGGTCGGTCTATCTATGGCTAAAGTGAACTGTTTTTTTGTTTGCAGGATTTTTGAACGATGGTAAACAGCAAGAACTAACAGTTAATATGCGATGTTATAACTTTAGCAATAGCTAGCCGGAAGTCTAAAGAGCGATGCATTCTCAATCTCCTAAAGGCCTAGCTGAGCTGCAGAAGCAACGCTTGTTTGAATGTATAGCAACAGGGCGTCTTTACAAGCTTCGTTTGATGCTGGATGACGAAGCCTGCGAAGTGGATGTGAACTGCTTTGACGAAAATCAACTCACACCATTGATGCATGCCTGCTGCCTCGACGAAGAAAAAGCAAAAACACGGGAAAACATTATACGTGTGCTTCTCAAAAAAGGTTTGGGTTTGATTCAGTTAGACATTATTTCTGACACTAATGTTATAAAATTTGCAGTGTTAGTTTGGAAGGAAAAGCGACTTTATATGCTCCCTGATCGGTATTTGCGCATCTATAACGTATCTTTGATATTGAGTAGAGGTTGGAATGCACTTCGTTGCATTTACTTGTCATGGAGCCCACAGGAGTAACAGGCCCTGAAACCTGCTCTAGCTTAAATCTGCTACTTGCCAGTTGATTAAAGCTTTTCGGCACTTTACGGTGATCTGATTTTAATTAGTAGAAATTGTAATACTCTTAAAAGTATGGAGACGGTAGACACTTATTTTTACGTGGAGGGAAGTTTATTATTAAAGAAAATGGTGGAAGCATAAAACAATTTCCATTTTTCCTTCATTCTTTTCTGTCCATGCCATAATCAAGTTAAAAAAATTAAGCTGGGGCATTTTGCTGTTAGCTAACGATCAGCCTCTAGCTGCTGCGAAAAATAAAATTCCTTTTTTCTTTTCCTAAGTATCACCACCTGAATAATCATCCTTCCCACTCTCCCTCTAAAAATATAAGTAGTTTAGCTAAAAAGCTTGAAATATCACACACCGCAAGTCTGGTACAGAATCCAACAAACAGAGATGTTTGGTTGATGTTTCAGGTGCAGATCCAAACATTGGTGACCCCAGAGGAATGACAGTTCTGGCAAACGCATGTAAAGAAGACAACTTTCAGGTTGTTAAGACGCTGGTCAACAGAGCATCTCTTGATATAAACTTCAATACTCAAGATCAAAACGGAGATACACCCCTGATGCATGCTGTTCGAACAAGCAACCATAATCTGGTTCGCCTTCTTGTTACCATTATGCAGAAACTCAATATTGACGTTGATGTACGAAATAACAATGACATTACACCGTACCTGGAAGCAAAAAAACTTGGCTACGAAGAAATTTGCAACGTATTGAAGAGTCTCGGGCGTGCTTGTCAGACACTCCAAATATTTCCATTAGTATTTGATGAGTACAGTGAAGGCACACAGGCAAACAACGATGTTTGGAATAAAAGCCACGCTAGTAAAAGCACCAGAGAACAAAGTGTGTTGCACGTTGACAGAAAGAACAAGAAACCTATCAGAAGAAACAGGCCCGTGAAAAGTGCACTTGAGCATAAGCGACAAGGAGAATTTCACAAAACTCGTGAAGCAGCGCGATGTAACTTGTCAAAAGAAGAAGGAGATTTGACTAACTTTGAAGTGAAGAGTAAACGGGAAAATATTAGTAGCGAAAAAAAAATTATCGATCGGGCTTTGCATGTGAACATAAAAAATGCTGAGGCTGTAGTAGACATAACGAATGATGACGAAACAAAGGTAAATGAACCTAGAGAACTTAAAAGCAATAAGATAATTGTTGACGCGATGAAAGAAGACGAGACAAAAAGTACGTTTAAAGAAATAAAACATACTGTTCAAAATGACGAGCAAAGACCAGTGGGTTTCTCAAACGAGACCAATGCTGAAAAAAGTTATTCTAATTCCAAGCCACAGATTTCAGTCTCAGACGAAAGAGATTCAGAAAACAATGACATTGTTAATTTCGAAGATTTGGTTTCAAAATCTAAGAGCATTTGGCAAAGTCGCCTTTCAAGTAAAGCACCGAGCTGGAAGCGAAAATTGCAGCTTGGCGAATTCAGAGACGCCTACAGTGGATCAGGGGATGAAAACCGAGGTGAATCAAGAAATGCAGAGCTTTTCAGAGAATCGACGATTTCAGGCGGTCTGCTTCGCAAAATGGTGCTTGAAAAGCCCGCTACACCGTGTGTCACAAGACGAAGTACATCAAATTTATCTGTTTACTTTAACGACCCAGTGCGAATGCCAAGATCCCGGCCTGGGTCTGCCTACCATGGGCTTCAAATTCACACTGAGCCCGAGTTTATGCAAAAGCCTTTTGCTACAGAGGAACCCTCTAAGCCGAAGATAACCTACGAGGACGTGTTTGAACTATGTCCTGATCTGAAGGGTAATCCTAAACGGTCCTGGCACTCGGATTTGCGTTGGATGCTAGCTTTAAGAGCGCATCAAAATTGTGTGACCTACCTACCAGCACAGCCAGCGAGACTTGCTTTCGACTTTTTCACTGCTGATCCGAGAATGGAGAACGAGAGTAGATTAGGGCGACGAATATCTGTCAGTGACATGAAACGACCAAGTTTGAAAAAGAGAAACACGACTTTGTCACCAACTGCCATGAGAGAAACAAACGAGTCAAGGTGATGACGATTTTCAGCCTCAAGGCGTCAGAGCAAATTCGTTATTCAATGTTGCCATCCAATCAGTAACCTTAATAATCCTTCAAAAAAACCAGCCCCTCCTCATCTACCAAAAAGTATTGTCACTTAACTAATCTTGTTGCTGCCAAGAAACTAATATTGAAACACATGTTTGACATGCTTGTTGTCAAGATAAGTGTTCACCAGATCTTGCTAAATTCTAAAATTCAAATCGATGATGTCAGTCAATGAAAAAAAATCAAAGTAGATAATAGCAATCCGTTGAATAAAATTTCAATTGAATACAAAAACAAATACTAAATAGAAATTATTAAGTTACGTTAAGGTACTGATAGGTTAAAAACAAGGTATGCCTTCACATTCAATCATTTAATTTCTTACATGAATCGAAGAATGTCCTAAAGTTTACCCGGGGTTTATTTTACTTTTTATAAGTTTTACACTAAAGGTTATGGAAGACGTTTTACCAAAAATTTTTTTAGCCTTCAATGCCATTTATATCCTTTCTTTGTGTACAATTTACCAACCTTCTCTGCAAGCCACCAAAAATATAAGACGTAATTTGATAAGTATTTCAACAAGCCGAATAAATTCTTTATACGTCAGAAATACCTAAAGGTTGATTGAATTTTTTAATCGACTATTTCTAGTTACTTCTACTTGCCAGATCCATTGTGTATAATAAGATAGGTGGATTAAAACGTAACTATCCTATAAAACGTTTTTCAAAGAATTAGGAACCGCGTATAAAAATATTATAAAAAACAACTTAGGTTACTGAATGTAATTCGTTATAACAAAGGTACCTTTTCTGAAAGTAAGAAGATGATATAGCAAATAAACCATCTGAAAGTACATAAGTATTAAAACGCTAATGGGTAAAAATGAAATTGTAACGTATATTGTAACATATATTTCGTGTTTTTCTTAATACATTTTTAATTTGCTTGTACCGTATTTCTTCTAATAAATAATTATTTTCGTCTAAAAAAAAATAACACCCCCCCCTCCCCTCCCCCACACCCTTCCTTCAATAATGATTGTCTTTTTCTAATCAAAAGTCAGAGGGACGCCTTCTTACTGAGTGTCCGATTTAGAGAGAAAATCTGATACGATAAGATCTGAAATAGGATGAGATTCGGGGTTGAGGTTCCTCAGGCGAAAATGAAACAATGAATCTAGCGAGGACGATAGCTGGGGAAGTGACCTCACGAAAAGGAATCTGGAGCTAGCTTGTGCAACCTTTTTACATTGAATTTCTCCTTCTGCAATAACATTGGAAAGTTTCAAATACAAATCCAATTTCCTTTTACAGGCAGTCGATAACCTGCCACTGAAACAAATATTCAATACTAAATTATATGTTTGTACACCTGACAATTTCTCCTGAAGATGAATTTGAACATAAGTTCAAGAAAAATATCATAGCTTCAAGGCCCAGATTTTCTCCCAGACGTACGGAAATATATATGATTACTAGAAGAAATACGGTAGATTTTGTTGCTACCCAGTTTTAACTAAACTTTTAAATGTTTACAATATTTCAATTATTAATAGCAAATTCTATTCATTTAATTTTCGTTGTTGAAAAAGTCTGGACTGCTCTCTAGCGACGGCTGTTTGACACTCTAAAAATGAAAATCATGTGTTAAAAAGCTGATTTGTGGAGAATACAAATACAAATACAAAAAAATATGTAGAAAGTTCATTTACCGGTGTTTATGGAGAAAGTGTATCATTTACAGCTCCTTGCATCCCGAAAAAATGTTTAAAGAAGTAATGGGTGAAAGAAGTTTCAAGGTCTTAAAAAGAATAAATATGATTTTGAATAAACAGCAGAATTGAAAGGGTTTGGCTAAAATTGAACTTTGGTAAATTATCTATGTTAAATGATATAAGTAGGACATATGAGTTGCCTGTCAATTTATTTAAATCAAGTAAATGAACTGAATTTGATCGAATAACCATCTACTTGTTCTATTTTAGCAAGAAGATTTACTTTAAAAACTGAATCACCTTTGGAATCTTTGATAATTCAGGTTTTAGCTGGAAAGAGGGATTCATTGTAAAGAGTAAATGCTTGGGACATATGACATCCACAAATTGTTACCTTGAATTTTCTCCTGAGTGCAGCAGTTAACATAGGGGTCAATCCGGCACCAGTTTCTTGCTTTGATTTAACCAAAGGTGTCCCACCAGGACTACGCTTGAGGTTCACTTTGCGTAAAGTTTTGCGTAAGTTATATCCGTTGAAGGGTGTCCTAAAGGGAAAATGTGACATCACAAATATATTCTCGCATTCACAGCTTCGCTAATAATCATTGTTTAAGGGAGATTGAAAAAGCAAGATATACCATACATGGAAGACAACAACGTTTTCAAAAATTCTCTTTTTTACAATGCAAGCTGTAAATTTGCTTATCTAAAATCGTTTTTTACAATCAACGAGTAACTGAACCATTAGCAACAAAATTACTACAAACCTTCTTGTGGAAATTGAATCACGTTTTCCAATATTCTCTTCAGATAGCAAGTTACTCAGCTCTCTCAGCGCTGTGTTGGTATCAAATGTGCAAGTGTTTTCCTTGCCATCGCAGACAGAAGAAGTTTTTCTAAGCTTTACACTACTCAGGTCTTTTAATGTGACCAGCTGAAGTCCTTTCGCAGGTGTCTGTGCTCCAGAACTAGGCATGAAGCTCACCTTTTTTAGTTTTACATTGCGAAGTTGGTCGTTAGTTATTTTCATTCCACCAGCATCAGAGCTTCCTAGCTGATTTTTTGCACAAGTTTGCTGCTGTTTCTATAAAAAGATGCCATGTTATGCTATTTCCGTTTCCCTATTTTTGCTTTTATTAAAACCCTTGAAACAGACACGTCACTGAAGCTTCCAGTTACTTTAAGGGAAAAAGCTTCGTAAATTGAGAAAAGCGCAAATTTTTTTAATCTTCTTTCGCAAAAGTAGAAAAATATGATCTTTGGCGATGTTAAACTTTCAACCATGAATTTAATTCCACTGAGACTTCCCCATTATTTTTACACCATTTACTACCAACTAAGCAAGAAATCAATTTTTGTGACTTTCATATTTCAAGACGTTTTGCGAATCAGACTTTTCGCGATTTTAGCCGCCCATGAAAGTTTCTTCCCTTAAAGTAGGTTTTATTCATAAAAAATGCATTCACCATCTTGAATACGATAAGAGTTTTTAAAATGCTCAAACATAGACCTTGACACCATCATCCAGTAAAATGCACCTAGTAACAGGCCAGGCGTGCCTGTTACTAGGTGCATTGGAGAGGCGTGCGATCGCAGAAATGCGGCACCCACCTCGTTTCCCCAAGAAATGCGGTTTATTGCATGCCTTACTCTGGCTATGAGTTACCACCTTTACAGTAAACATCTTAGGCCCTGTTTAAGCAACAACGTTTTCATTTCATATCGTATTTAGTTTCCCAATTCAACCATAATTTTTTGCCTGTTTTCATTTACCGTTACCGTTTTCATTTCTTCTTCGATTTTGGGCTCTGTTGATATGAGAATGCTAAAGTGCCCAGAACGCTATACTGTGTGGGGTTTGCCTTTGTTTGTGGTATCTGCACAGCAGCGTTTTCATTTGGCATTGGATTCAACCGTTTACACGAGAAAAGAGATGTATCGGATTGGTTTCATCCCACATTACAGCGTTTTCATTTTGAAGGGCAAAAACATTTTGAACCATATCAGATTAGATAGTTTTTGTGTGAAAAGAAGACCAATCCAGTACGAAACCAATTGATATAAAATGAAAACAGTATGGTGCAAACAGGGCCCCATTCACTGCTCCGTTTTCACGTTTGCACTGCGTTTATTTGTTATATACAGCGGAATCCCGATAAATCAATCTCTTAAGTGAAAATGTACGTTTTCATCGTTGTTACTGTTCATACTGTTTCCCTTTTTCTAAATTGGTTTTGAGTGTTTTTAAAAATCCCTGTTTTTGTGTGTTTACAATGTTCACAGAAACGGAGTAAAAATACCCGTTTTGTGGTTTTAACCGTTCACACTTTTCTAAATTTGTTTGCAGCGTTTTTAAAAACCTCTGTTTCTTTGCGTAAACATTGAACCAGTGAGTTTGCAAAACCTCTATTTTTGTGGATATCAACTTTTGATAGCATTCCGAAAACCTCCGTTTTTGTGTCGCTTTTTTTTATAATAGAATTTTTAATTCTATTTGCAAAATAGCTTTGAAACAGAAAATGTAAAACATTTCAATAAATGTTCATAAATACAGCGAAATCCTGAGATAACAAGCTCTTAAGGGAACCAGAAAATAGTTCGTTAAATTGGGATTCCACTGTACTTCATTATGCAAAAATAGAATTAGCACCCCATGTATCCTTTGGTTTTCCAAGGAATGCGATTCACTGCACTTCTGCAAATTCATACCTAGTATGACCTGTAGTAACAAAGAAAGGGTCTGGCTTTTTACAAAAAATTGAAAGATGTGAGCAAGGGTTAGGAAGAAAAACTTTTAGGAAGAAATGGGAAATCTATTTATTCGTAATATGATTCCTACACAGATACTTAGAAAAATAAAATAATGTTAAAACATGGAAGAGTTGGCATACATACCACATTGGGTTTGATAAGCTGAACTTTCTTCAAAGCTGCTGGAAGAGGCAGTGGAGGAGGTGGTGGAGGAGGAGGTGGTGGAGGAGGAGGTGGTGGAGGAGGAGGTGGTGGAGGTGGTGGTGCAAATGCTGCTGTTGGAATGGGTGGTTCCATGCATGGAACTGGAATCATCTGTGAAGGTACTCCATGGTCTTTGACAGTACCGTCATTTCTCTTGAAAATGAAGAAGAAATTTAGTTTCTAACAGTTAAAAAATAAAGACTGGTGCATTTAATCTTAATAGTATTTTGGAATGTTATTGTGCTGGCTTGAAAATGTGTTAAAGCAAGAAAGTAGGTTTGATAAATACCTTTAATAAGAATGACTGTCTAAGATTCTGCACCTCCTGTTCCAGCAATGAAACTCTAGCTTTGAGCTCTTCAATGTCATCTGATGATGAGCATTTCACCATAATATAAAAGACCTGCAATATAATTAAAGCATAAATCATACAGTACTGTCAATGAATAACTGACACTATAGTTTTAATGAAAAACCATTAGTTTTATATGGCAATTGATGTTGCTTTTGACGAAAAAGATCAAAGTTTCTAGTTATCATTAGGTTACTGCTAAAATTACTAAACTGCTAAAAAACTGCTAAAATTCATGCCGTAATCAGCAGCCCTGGCCATGGTATTAGCCTCCAAAAACTAATACACTGCCCCGAAATTTCTTTTGTCTGTTGTGGTCTGCATGACGTGAATTTCTCTTGTTGAGCCATGGTCAAAGAATGGGTGAACAGCAGTAAGGTATTAGTTTTTCATTTCTAATACTACGAGGGCCACTGTCAGTGGAAGGGACGGTGGAAAGAGCCCCAGCTCTATTCTAAGGCCTCAGCTTATAGAAAAAATATTTCTGGAAATTAACTTTATGAATTTACAAAATGTAGCTGTACTTTTGCTAGCAATGCCTTTGGATGGATTGACAAAATTTAGACACTGAATATAAAGAGCAACAGTCATGAAATAATTTGTTTAAGCTAAAGGCAGTTGTAAAAGTTGTTTTGTATGAACTGTATGTTTTGTAAAACTTTGATTCTATATGACCGTAGAGTCACAGGCAACATTCTCACATGATTTCTCTCGGTTTCTCAAATCAAATGATACATCTTACGTTTTTTTGCTGCATTACTCTAAAGTAAATCGCTCGCTTTATCGTAATAGAATCTCATTCGCGGGCCAAAAGCCTCATGGTATTAGAATTAATGGGCTAATACCTTGGGGCTCCATTACTGGGCAGCAAACCGCTGTATCAAAACACGATTTCGCTCGAGTAAATTGCCGCAGCCATAATTCATTTGTATTTCGTAGGACCGATCCTTCACCCAAAACTAGTAGGATGAACTACATTACCACAGGGTCATCAGTGTCTGGGGGGAGACAACGGGGGCCAGTGCCTTCAAATAATTTTGTAAGATATGGTATTGCCAAAAGCTATTTTACACCATCATATCGAAAAGGTCATTTTGCCCACCTTCTTAAATAAGAACATATAAGCTCCACCCCTGTTAAATAGTTTCAGGACCATGCGGAGGGACCTTCTTATGTCTTAATTTCGAAGGCTAATACCAATACTTTTCTACTCCCAGCCGCCCCTGAAACTTAATATTCACTTATTTTCTGCACACAGACTCAAAGGGCTTTTACTCATTGTTGAGCCTATGTGCAGCCTACTATACTATATTTAGCTTGCATGCACCTGCTTTAACTTTTTCCATAGCCTGAATGGCATTGCTCCAGCACTGAAGATTATATCGGACAGTTGTGTATGAAGACCTCTTTCAAACTTTCTAGAACCTCCATGATGAGATTCAGTATCGACACCCGCGTTGAAACGATCAATGCTCATTTCAAGTAGATTATTAGAAGTAGTTTCTGCTGTCGTCTCTTCCATTTCGGTGCCAGGGAGTGCTGTTTTGACAACGAGAGCCATCTCGCCCTTCGTTTTGTTTGAATCTTCTTCTTGGTCTGTCTTGTGCATACTTTCGAGTACTTTAAATGCATCTCCAGGCTTTTCACTCTTTTCGTTTGATAAGTTGCATTTCGTGTGACCTAACAATGCCCATAAGGCTCCAGAATTACTTGAAACTGTTTGAAAGTGGTGATGACGATCTTTTCTTTTTAGGCCTACTTTGGACTTCTTCTCGATTGCAATTTTCTGCCTCTCCTGTTGTCTAGCAATTAGGCGCTGCTTTCTTCCTTTAGATGTAGGCATTTCTATTTCTGCCAAATAGCAAAACTCTCTGTTCTGAGATGAATTTCGCGATAAACAATAAATCAAAACCCCATAATTACTTTTTTCCGAAACAGTTTAACCGCCAATTTTCAAGCTACACAACAACAACAACATTTCTTGTTGTTGTGTACCACAATTACTATCCTACCTACTCCCTTTTTGTTAAAACAATAGAGCTTTTTCAAAACCTTCTATTCTGGGTGTCGAATTTTCCCTTACCCCCCTCCGCTTTCAAACCTGTGCCGGAGCCCATGCAGTCGCTAGCCCCATCATTTCCACTGGTACTCACTTACCGACCTCGGAAGACGAAGTCTCATGAACCGAATCATGTGGGAACAGAATCCTATGGTTTTGTTTTAGTGTTAACTAATGAAACAAGTATGAAACTTGGTACAAAACACTGTACCCAGTCCTTACTTGGGTCTTCCTCAATATCTTTGAAATATGCAAGTCGTTAACCTGAAACTCTGTTTTCTGGCGTAATTTGACATGCTTAATTAAATGGATACAGAGCCGCCTAAATCATAAAAAACATCCCCCAAAGCTATTATTAGACTTTTGGTACCTATTCTCTTTTGGGTCATCTCCCGTACCTTTAAAGTATTTAAGCTACAATCCTTAGTTCATTAGCGTAATTTGATGTGCTAAATAACATGAAAATTTTGGGAGAAGTGGCCGTCCAAAAATAGGCCTACTTTTTGCAAAGTTTTGATACAATGCAAAAACTTGATACGTTTTCTAAGCACGCACGTAGCAATTGGTCACTAGTGAGCTCAGAAACTGGTATCTTATCTTACCCTCTTTGAAATGCCGACCGAAATGCCGCTAATGCAAAGAATCTTCAGTTGGTGGCATGGCTCATCTGTCCTCGATTTTTTTGTAAAAAGGAACCTCCTTGCTTCATTCACCAAATTACGTCTAGATGACGGATCATACAGCAAAACCAATCCCCTGAACCAGTACCAGTACATACATTAATTCATTGGTAACTGCAGCGGCGTGCGGCGTATCGGAAAAGTTCGAAGTCCAGGGCCCTTGAAAAAAAAATATTTTTCCAAAATACAGACAAAAGTAGAGTAATCAGCAATAGAAAAACTTTATGAGATACAAAGACTGAAAGATAATTATAAAGCAAAACAATTTCAGGTAGTGAAAAATATCAAAGAGGTTATTTATCAGGCAATTCCTCAAAATCCTTCATTCTTGAAAAAGTGTTGCTTAGCACAAGAATATACTGCTGTAAATGGTATATATTGGATAACTACAAAAAGCACTCCAAACTTCTAGTAAAACGTCCTTTCTTGTCTACTTCGACCTTACTATACAATAAAAACAAACATATCGTGTCGTCTTTATCCTTTATTCTTATTTGCTTAATCTTTTTATTTATTTGTATCTTTTTAAATAACTTATTCGGTAAGATCTTAAATTGCAAAGTGACCCAGATCACTCATGACTAAAACACCAAGGACCTAAGCAGAGTCTTATACACTTCAGTGTCCTCTAGGCAATTCTCGGTGTCCTTTACAACATCACTGTTAGTTGAAAAGATGATATAAAAGTCATCTTCTGGCATTTCTTGTAAGTGTTATCATTGTAATTACCGTTATGGAATAAATGAAATTTAAATTTTATGAATTTTAGAACCAGGGCCTAAGAAATTTGGTTTGATTGAGGAAAGTCTATACTCATGTGGCCGAAGCACATCCAACCTTCCAATTTTAACATCCCTAGCTGACTTTGCAAATTTTTTTATGCTCCTTCATGTCATTTGTTCAAAATCCAAAAATTCTGAAATATAATTTCATTATGTCATCATATTGCCACTCTTTTTGTCCCGCGAAATATGTTTGGCCTAGGGGCCATAGCGTGAGGTTGGACGCGGCGCGGAGTCCGAGCCTGAACACTGAAGCCTGTTTTTGTGACGTACACTTTGTATTGGAGACTGGACCCCACAATCTATTGCGTCTGCGCAGTACTTACCAGGCCTGCACGTTGAAAGGTGCCTTTCCAACTTTGTAAAGTTAAACATGGCACCTAAAGGCGCAGCGAAAGGTTAGGCTTTATTATTAGCAACGTTACTGCATTTTAGAACTAGTAAATGACAAAAAGCATAGTTTGATGACTGAGGATTGTACGTTAAGGTTGACAAAAGCTTTTAATACTTTAATAATGAAACTGAAGACTCTCTTCCACCGACACCGAGGGCCTACTTTTCCGTAAAACATGGCATGGCCAGTGGAGTTTTGGCAACCCTTTTTTTAAGGTTTCATTAAATTTAGCTTTGTTAAGATCTTCGCTACATGAATCACTACAAGTCTGCAAAACTGAAAAATATGGTCAGAACAATCATGATACGGTTTTTCCAGTCGAAAATTGAAATTAATAGTCTGAGCTACATTTATTTATTACTTCCCCCGTCTAATTAAATTAAATGTTTTAATTTCTTTGGTATGATTGTAAGTTATTTATCTTTACGTAGACCCCTAATCAATCATTGTTCTGGTGACAGCTATACATGTTACGAAATTGAATACTTCATATTACAGGGTCCAAATTTTATTGTAATGAATAATAATGTCTAGTCACAAGGCAAGAGGTTTGGATAGAAATATGAAGAACAAAAGGTTTTGCTAGAACAAAATGGTTGGCATTAAACCCTAGATCAGGGATGGGGTATTTATTTTTACAAGTTGCCACATGCCACATTTTACAAGAAGCCTGAACATTGTTGGAGGACTGAACCAACAACAACTTTGTTCTGAGCAATCTTCTTTTTCTCCCAATGTAAGGAAAAATAAATTATGATATATTTCAGCTGTTACTAATTGCCAGAAAGTCATGTCATCATGTCAATATATAAGATATATAATGTATATATATGTAAGGATGATGTAGTAAAAATACTGGCACAAAAGCATTTCTGAAAATGACAAGATTTTCAAAATAGATAAACAGGATTTTATAGCATGAACATCAAAACATAAATTTTATAATATTTTCCATTAATGTTCTGATTGGCCAGATGCAGGATTGATTAGAATTTTTGCCTGCACACATAAACTATCAGCCGCAGTTGCAGCCATGCAATTTCTATTAAAATTATACATCAGTCGCAATGATTCATCCAGCTGTTTTTCTCTGAAATGTATAACCAAACATTACATACTGTATGTTTATGGTAATAAGTCTCAGTCGCAAAAAAATTTGTATCTGTGCTTTTTACAAATGTGCAATTTTCATGGACATGAAACAGGTCCCCTGCGCATCTTTCAAAGATTCCAATCTGGATTGGCGATAAGTTGCCCAGGTTTGCTCCAGATACACAGAGTGGAGATTTTTACTTCAACATACATTCTTGAAACACAAGTGGGCTTTCATGACAGAAATGTCACAAACATTTGAAAAGCAAGTTGTTCTTGCAACAGTGGTACTTCATAAGTGGTATATACTATATATAATGTTTTTGTTCTGAATTTTTGAGAAAAATTGAAAAACCAACTTCAAAAGAATAGTTTCTATGATAATGAAATTGAAACCTTTTCCGAGCATGAGAAGCTTCATACAGGACTTCAATGTTAAAATTGTTGACACTGAAATCAAGAAACACACTGGAAACAATGAGCACTGAAATTTTCAACAGTACAAAGAACTTGGGTACTTAATGTCAACCCATGAATGCATTCAGCTTACATCTTTCTAGTTTTGTTACTTTTTGAAAATGTTAGTTCCCAAACATTTTGCTCATGTGATGAAGCACATAGGAACTTGTTGCTTAGTTATGATGCTGAGATCACCTATGCTGCCTTCCAACTGATGGGCTTTTGGGTATTAATTAATTTGTATTTTTTGTGATCATATAAATATAGCTTAAAAAGTTTCCACTTGAGCAACTCCTTTTCTCAAAACTTATAATTGCATTCTAGCTAGCAAAGCCAAAGACAAGGCCAAGGCCTCTGCCTTGAAGGCCAAAAAAACTGTCTTAAAAGGACCTCATGCTAAAACAAAAAAGAAGATCAGAACAACTGTTCACTTCCATCGACCAAAAACCCTAAGGCTTCGAAGAAAGCCTATGTTCCCAAGAAGGTCAGCTCCCAGGGTTAACAAATTGGACCAGTTTGCAATCATCAAGCACCCCCTTACAACAGAATCTGCCATGAAAAAAATAGAAGACAACAACACATTGGTGTTCATTGTTGATATTAGGGCAAATAAACCACAGATAAAGCTGGCTGTGAAAAAATTGTATGATATTGATGTTGCAAAAGTAAATACTCTTGTCAGGTAAGTGATGTCAAATTATTTTACTGGCATTTTCTGTTTTTAAGCCTTTATGTATAGATAATATGTATTGAACTTTGGCGTTTTGCAGCTTTGCGTCTGTTATTCTTTTGGTCTTTCACTATCGTCTTTTTCAGTCATATCTTTAATAAGTTACTATACTGCAGACATGCAAGTTCAGATGATGAAACACATAGAATTCACTTATCTGAATTATCTATTTGTTGATAGCACCTATGCTGCCTTCCAACTGATGAACTTGCAAAGTTGCGGTAGCAATCTGACTCTTCCTTGTAAACTGTATATATTATGTATAATTATAGACATCATCAAATATTCATATATATATTTGCGTAAAATTGGCCAGTTGGTTAGTGTACTTTCCCATGTTTTCAAATGTTTTCAAGACCTGATTTATATATTTGTATGTGTATATACTCGCAAGGCAAAGGCTTACATGAGGAAAATTATTTCCGCCAAGGTTTTGCCCAATGGTATTAAACATTATTTGGCTGGAAACAAATTTTAGTTTGCTGCTTCAAAAAGACCAGTGCTCATTTCACTGAGTCAAACAACTCAATGAAACAAGGGAAGAATCTCCAAAGCCAACACCATAGCCAAGGCAGCTGTTTATTCTGTTTTGGCTTTATGCCCCCATCAGAGCCATGTCAACCATTGATATATAATCAAAAGGCAAAGGCTTTGTCTATTTATATATATAGTATTTCTTACCTGTAAGTTTTTGGGAAGGAGCACTAACATTCGGTGGGAGAGCTAATCATTTCAAGGTTTTTTGGATGTTGTAAATAATGTGTCTTTTTAAGTTGCTAAAAATGTTCAAATTGATTTATTTATGCCTTTGGTTTGTCTTAATTATTTGGTTGTGGGTATTAATGTTTGTTTTTAGTTAATGTTTGTTTTTAGTTAATGTTTGTTTTTAGTTAATGTTTGTTTTTAGTTAATGTTTGTTTTTAGTTAATGTTTGTTTTTAGTTAATGTTTGTTTTTAGTTAATGTTTGTTTTTAGTTAAATTTTGTCCTTGTAAGTGGTTTTGGAAGTTTGCTTGAAATGCAAGGCAATTGCGTAGGTTATGTATAGAAGTGGCCAAGGGAATTTTCTAGCTTCAGTTTGCATTGAATTGGGTTTTTGCAGTTTTACTTATTCTATTTTGTAGATTTAGATTATCATGAGTTATTTTTTTCTAGACCTGATGGGCAAAAGAAAGCATATGTCCGACTGGCATCAGATTATGATGCTCTTGATGTAGCAAACAAAGTAAGCATCACTTTATGTTTGTGTTATATCTAACACATTTGTTGTTCTGTTACAAATGGCCCCCAATTGCTCTTATCTCATGTATAGCGCTTTATGAATAGCAATTTCTCTCTACCTCAATATGGATAGCATATGGTACAATGCTTACCAAATTTGTTAGAACACTTCAACAAAGTATACCGTATTTCCTCTAATGAACACACATCTTTTGTGAACTTTAAACAAATTTCACACTATCTTCATTTTTTGGAAAAATAAAACATTGTTAAAGTCTGTTTTCATCTTTTTTCATCGCACTTTTCTTGTCATTTTTTATTAAAAACCTCCTCATTTTCTACTAAACACTGCTCTCTGATAAACGCTACTGTCCATTGAATGCTACACCCAAAATTTGGATTTTGTAATAAAGGCTGTGGCATTCTTTAGACGAAATATGGTAAACCCTTTTAGAGGCATTTTTGGCTGGGGGTATGAAATATGGGACAAAAGTATAAAGAGATGTTTGTACAGACAAATGAGATGAAGTGTCTGCAAGCAACTGCAATTTATCAAACAACTATTGCTAGTGTTTCTTCAGAACTTCTTGATGCTGACCAGCAAAATAAAATTTTCTTGCGAGAACAAAAATATTTTCTTCTATTGGGAACAATTATTTTTTAGCTTGTATATAGGTTTGAAAAAATAGTTTAAAATTTTAAGTTTCTTTGATTGGTTTTTTTTAAAAAATTTGAGTGTATTTTTTGACAGCCCAAGTGATGAAGCACATAGGAATTTACAAATGATATAATAATGATTTGAATACCTATGCTGCCTTCCAACTGATGAGCTGTTTTTTTATAGTTTTTTCCATTTAATTTCACAATTTTGTTTTATTTTCTTACAAAAGCAGTGAAGTCCATTCTTGATTTCCTTTTCAGATTGGTATCATATAAAAAGTCAATCAAGGGAATTCTTTATATGAAAATACTGTACAAAAGATATGTCTCTCTTCTTTGTTTTTTCTGTCTTTGCCTATATATTTATTTAAACAAGATTTAATACAGAAGCTACATGTAGTAGAATGAAATCAAAGACGCTTCTTAAGTTTTAAGTGACATGTTACATAGCATGATTAGTTGACAGGCAGGAAAGACCCTTCATCAAAGGAGACTTTTAATCCTTTTAGTAGCCCTATCAGCCATGGCAACTGATTTTGATATTATTCATTTGAATGTTTTCAGTGCTTATTCGATCACCCAAACCCTTTAATTACTGCTAAGAAACAATTCTTCATTCAAAAATTTAAATGGATCCAGAGAAAAGGGGTATCACAAAAATGTACTGAACCAAAAGGGGTTAAAGCATTCAAAGTGCACTTGAAAATCAAATTATAGAGATAAGTCTGCATTCTTGTCAAATCTTTTAGTTGCTGGCATATTCAGTTTTTAAAATTTATTTAAATAAAACTTTAGACTTGAACTTGTAAACTTTAAAGGCAAATTAGGATGAGGTATTTTGGTAAATTTTGATAATTTGAGAAAAATTTTCTTGCAATTAACATGCAGGTGCCTTAAAGATAATGCTAAAGAACAACTTATATTTACTTGCTCCTATTTGGACAGTAAAGAGGGTCATTTCAAAGGAAAAGGAGGCCAGTTTAATGCCAATCACAGGGAAACATTAAAAGGGCACTTCTTAAAACACATGCTGTAATGTTTATGAAATTTCACTCGTATGTTAAAGAACAAAGCAGAAATTTTTTGGGCTATAATTGTAATGATAGATCAAAACTTTTATAGCGCACCACCAACTAAAAACTTATTTATCTTTGCACTTGACAATATTTATTGCCAATAGAAAGGGTATCTGAAAGTATCTTATGGATTGTTAAGAGTTAGTTTAGAATATTTTGTTTTGAAACGCTTTTAAAAAAGATTTCACACTTTTATAAGAACCTGGAAGTTTAGTTTCAGGCTGACTGTTCTTAGTTTTTTCGAAAATCGGAGGCTGGATTGTTCCTAGTTTGTTCTTGAATTTTTAGGATGCAAGCAGTGTTATTATTAACTTTTTAGCTTTAGGGGGGTGTCCAGGCCTCATTTGCCAACAAAGTGAGTGAGACGGCTTTTATTTGTCGCCAAGTTGGAATATTCACCGAAAAGGGGACCAACACATGGCCTAAAATCCTTTTTTGAGATAAAACATTCAAAATTGCATTTTACAATAGCTTGGCATCAGCTTGTTCTTAGTTTATTCTCAACATTTGACTAAATTTGAGGCTCGTGTTCTTATAAAATTGCTCTCATAAAAAAGATTGTAAATGTTTCAGGAGTCATAACTCTCGATGGAAGAGAGTTTCAAAAGTTTTGTCACCACATGAGCTATCCTACAAAAATTGTAATGCAAACTGTTAATTAGGGGTCTTACAAACAAGTTAAAACATGTAGTTCTAAAAAATGAATTTTGAAATTAGAACAATACTCGTTCCTCCAATCACAATTATCCAAATAAAATATCGTGCCTCGGCAAAAATATATAGAGTGTATGGACTGAAAAAGCGAGAAATATCAAATGCCATTAATGTGTTTTTGAAAATTAAATTATATACTTTTATTCTTCCAATTCTAATGCTTCAGAATTTTCGACGCTTTAGACAACCGAAGAATTTTTTTGCTTATTATGTACGATTAAAACACTGCCCTTCTCAACATGCGGTGACTATCTAATGCTGACTATCTGAAATCGACGAAGAATCTAACAATTCTGCAGAGGTTCACACTGATAGCCATTTGCAGGCTCTAACTGCCCGTGCCAATCAATTAAGATTTATGCACATTAATACTCAATCCATGGTTTCCACGTTCGACCAGCTATTGTACACCATAGATCGATATCCTTTTGAGATTCTCGCAATGAGTGAAACATGGCGAAATGAGAATCCATTGTTACTCGAACATGTAAGGATTCCAGGCTTCCCACCCCAGCAGGGCCTATTTTAAGAAATTTTTAATACTGCACATTTATAACTACATTTTTTATAGGAAATTTTGTTGTTGCAATTTTTGGAAATTTCTAGTCATTTCGTTTTGTTTTAAGTTTTGATTAGAGAGTCTTTCCGATGGTCATACGAGATTTGCAATACATGACCTCTATATCGAACTGACGGGGAAAATTCACATTTTGTGAACAAAGCGAGAATCTGGGATAGCGGCAATTAGACATTTTCACAAATCCCAAAATTCAATACTGCACATTTTCGAAATCAATACTGCACATTTTTAAATTAATACTGCTCAAATTGTGTAATACTGCACACTAAAATAGGCCCTGCACCCCAGTTTAGAAACAGAGAGGGAGGGGTAGGTGTTTACATGAAAGAAAGAATAAAGATTAAGCGCAAAAGGACCTAGAGGATCTTGAACCAGAGTTAGAGATCATATCGTTAACAATTTCTGGTCGTAATAAAAATGGTAATTTACTATTCAGAGTTGTTTATCGCTCAAATAAATTATTACAAGCAAATGAATGGATGGATAAGACTGAAAGCGTCCTAAGCAATATCGTATCTCAATGGAATTGGGAAAGCTGATCTATACGAAGCGATTGCTCATCGGGACCAGATCAATTCCCTGTTAAATTCATCAGACCAATCGCAGAATATTTCGCTTCCCCAATGTGTCACATTATCAATTCCTGCATCACAAAGTCAACCTTCCCGTCATAATGGAAAACAGCTCGCATTTCTACGATTCCTAAAATCAATAACTCTAAAAGCAGTGATGGCTATAGGCCTGTTTCAATCTTACCGGTTTTGTCAAAAATCTTTGAACGTGTAGTTATGAAACAAATAGTGAGCTTCATCAATTAAGAACAACTTATGTATGAAGGAATATGTGGGTACAAAAAAGGACATTCCACAATTACAGCACTACTTGGAACAAAAGATATGATCATGCAAGCTATGGGAAAAAACGAAGTTCCCTTAATGGTTCTTGCGGACTTCTCGAAAGCATTTCATACCATCAATTATAAAACTTTGATACAAAAGATGCATGCATTTCGTTTCTCCAACAGTTTTCTTAAGTGGTTACTAAGCTACTTGGACAATCGTCACCAGTTTGTTCAGGTAAATGATAGAATATCAGAACTTGAATTGACGAAATTTGGAGTGCCACAAGGATCTATTCTAGGTCCTATCCTGCTCAGATTGTATGTCACCGATCTCCAAGACAAAATCAAACTACCCTGCTTTCAGTATGCCGATGATACGACTATACTTGCGCATGGAAAGCCAAACGATCTGTTGTCTCTTGAAACTGTCCGAGAGATGACTCCTCTCTAACCTACGAAAACAATTTTCGACTGTTAAGATCTTTGTTGTAAAATATATATCAGGTATCAAAATGCGGTGAAAAAAAGGATTCTCAAGTACAAGAATTTAGATATTTTCTTATAAAAATAACTGAATCTGAATATCCCTCTTTTTGCGACCGGATCACAGGCTAGGAAATGTGAGCTGACGCCGACTTTATTTCTTCTTGCTTCTCTGAAGAATCTTTTTTGTGTGCATACATGATTATGACTATCAATCTCCACACTGTCATTTTTCCATGATATTTTTGAGCCTCTGGTTTCCTTTATGCTTCTAGTGCAACCATTTACCCATAGATTTAAGAATCCTGTTATTTGTATGTCTTTACCATATTTGGAATTTATGTTGGGTTGACTTTGCAATCATGTTTCGCGTGATCGCTTATGTGCCGTCAATTATATTAATCACATGACATGTAGCTTTATGTTTGATATTGGATTTGTGAAAATATGTGAGGGCTTCTTCTTTGACCCACGTCACAGTCTACCATCTATTGATGAAATGACTCTCACGTCTGGTGGAAAACACGTAGAATGAAAGAGCAAATGAATCGTGTAGAGGCTGGGGGGTACGCGCAGGGCCGGATTAACCCAAAGGCCAACGAGGCCATCGCCAAGGGCCCTGCGGTTTTAGGACCCCGCGCTATACAAGGTACATTTTTGAGCCATAATGATGGCATCACTGAAATGGAGGCAGAAGTAGCATCTTTGGCACCAGTTTGAAAACTTTGAATTGTGCACAGAAAATATATTCATAAATATGCAATGTGCGCAAAATTTAATTGTATCAAACATTGTTCCTTCTACTACTGGCCAAGACAAGCTATGTGACTTGATTCTCTTGAAGATAAAACAAGACTCGAACAATAGCGTCAGAAAATGATGACATCATCATAAATTTTTTTCAAATCTTTGATTTTGAACGCACGATCAGAAAGAATACATTAAGATATCTCTCTGTGCAAAACCAGTTAAATCTGTTGCATATTATATGCCATACATCCATTTGATGTTTTCTTATGAATTACTGTTAATTTGGTTTGGTTCAAAGATTTCAGGTCCCTAATTTTTAGAACTTACACGACTGCTTTATATAGAATGTGCAAAATCTACCCATGACATGAAAAACCAATTATAAACAGGTGTTTTGTAACTTCTTTAAAAAAGGCACCCAAAATTGCCAAAAACAATAACTTTGCCTTATCAACCGTAAAAACAAACTACAGGAAAAATTATTGTTTTTTAAGGGTGAAGATTTAGAGCAACATAAGTTACAAATTAAAATGAATCCTCACAAAAAATGGAAAAGTACACAAAGTGTAGCACTTCAAAATCCTAACAAAAAACCTCATTTTTGTTTACAGATACTACTCATTGAAGATGTACCCTTTTTGAGCAGTTGCCCCCACCATTCCGAAATGCTTACGGCGCCCCTGTATCCATAAGTTCTAAAAATGAAATATCTCCAGTCAGGACTTTCTGACAAGTTACTTGTCTTCCCTACTTTCGCAATATAGCAAGTAATGACATACTATTATTATTTATCATGGTTCCATTCAAGGATTAAACGGTTCATCTTTTGTTTTCAGTTCTAGAGCGCAGGGAGTAATCACAGAATCAGAAGATGAACAGATCTTGAACGATTAAGGACCACGCCTTTTCACAAATGGTAAAGAGAGAGTAAACGCAGTCAGTAACAATTGAAATTGTCTACACATCCTATCGGGTTCAGAAAGGTTATTATGTTTATTTTGCCGCGCCATTTAGTGGTAGCAAGGAGCTCAATTGTCATCTAATCGAAGCATTACCCTTTTTCTAGGGATGGGAGGAGCGTTTTGCTGTTTTATATAGTTTCCAAATGACGTTTTAAGATTAAAAAATCTTAACGAGATCAAAGTATCAATTGCGGCAAAGATTTCTTCTTGATCCCTAGATGGCATCAGAGGTTCTGTTGTTTGTTAAACACCTTTTTATGAGAAAAATTTTACAAGAACACGAGCCTCAATATTAAGAAAACCTGAGTCTGCACTACTGTAAATGCAAAACATTTTATCTCAAAAACGAGGAATTTTAGCCAAGGTGTTTTTTAGGCGAATATTCGAACTTGTCGGCAAATGAGGCCTGAAACGTCTCCCAGAGCGAAAAACCTAGCAATCGAACTGCTCACACCCTGTCAATTTAAGAACAAATTAAGAACAATCCAGCCCCCGATATTTGAAAAACATAAGAACAGCCAGCCTGAACTTAAATATGCTGGTTCTTATGAACAGAAGAGAGTGTTGATTTTTGCTACCTTCTCGTACCCTTCCCTTGGATACATTTCGCCTCTTCCATGGGACCCTGATAACCCCCCTTTCTATATGGGCATCTTCTCCTCATCCTAAATATTTCATCACATCCTTTATTCCGAGCCAATGAAAGTTATACTTTTTAGGAAAAGGATATAGATGAGAGCATGAGAGCAGAACCTCCAAATTATGAGAGCATGTATAGTGTAACACATTAACACTGTATAGACTGGGATAGACACTCGGTTAATATTGTGAGAAATCAGAGGATCCGCTTCATGTCAAACTTTTGATGCCTGCCCCCGGGAAAATTTTCTCATTTCTAGGCAATATGACTTGATTTTGTTATATCTCATATTTTCAAGCAAAAATTTCATAACTGATCGCTTCTTAGTTCACAAATACATCTGCAAAGTACTGTTGGAAAGTTTCTTGGAGGTAAAACCCTGTTCAGGATTAAATTCAGGAAACAAATGGCTACCACCAAATACAGAACCCGCGGAGGTTTGCACAAAATTCCTGAACGAGCAATAACAGCCTTGAACACAAGGCCACAACATTATCTTACCATATATGGCCAGTCTTTGCGGCAATATTTTCAATGAAGTGACTGTGGAACTGGTGTGATCTCCGACAATTGTTCGCCCATCATTGTCTCAAACAACACACCCAACACAATTCACAACTCACGATTTGATTCGTTGTAGGTAATAATAGCTGTCGACCATAAGAGAATTTGTTCTGTTTATCAAATCCGCATTGTTTCACACCCATTGCTCGCCTATTCTTTGTCCTAATTGTGAATGTTAAGAATCCTCTATTGTCAGCAATAGACACTTGGTCTATTATTGTGCATTGTATTCTGTACCCCATGATGTTGATTGGACAGAGTACAATTAATATTGTTATTTAGCATTCAATTCAAAGTGTTTCAATCTATTGTTTAAATGATCTTTGTTATGGCTTCCTTTGATCGCATTGTAATTAAACAATGCTATCCACGCCCTCCTGACGATCCCCATTGGTTTCCCAATTTACTTTGCAAAACATACCTCGGAAGCTTGGAGAGGGTGACAGACATTCCAGTGAGTGCTCACGGATTTCATTTAGTTGGCTAGATTTCTGCCTTCAAGTTAAAGTCAACGCTTTTAAAAGATTTACAAACACACAGAAACAAAGTCGGCATGGCTCTTGCAAACGTCAAATCTCGTCTAGCTAAGTTCCAAGAGGATATCGATGAAGCAGATAACAGAACCGTCACTGCCAAACATGAAATCCGCGAAGCCCAGACTAGGCTAGAGAAAACTGAAGGAGAGTTGGGCACACATCAACGACGAATCAAGCTGCTAGAAGCTGAATTGCAGGCCATTACCGAAAGGTACGAAGATGTTGCTTCAAAGCTTGACAAGGTTGTGACCGATTCCGAAGGAATAGAAACCAAGCGCAGGGAACTCGAAGAGAATGAGATGGAAGGGGACGAGCGTCTTCAAGACACAGAAGAAAAGGTTAAAGAAGTAAGTAAATATTCCGCTGCCTTTCTCATACAAGCTCGATACTCACTGTATATTTGCAATTTGTAATCGATTTTTTAAAAAATGTCTTAAAAATCTGCAGGGCCTAAGGGTTTTGCTCCCCGTCCTGAAAATCGTTCAACTTACCTTTATTCAAGGATTCAGCTTTCTGTCGAGTATGATTGCCTATTTGAATGCAGAACATCGAAGCCACAGCTTTAGTGGATCTGCTTGATATATTACAACATCGGAACAGGTGAAGAACAACACCAGTAATAAAATTTTATTTTCTTCACTTGTTATTACAGTGGGTGATTGAACATGTTATCATGTTGTTTTAACATCCTAAACTTGCAGGTATAATTCTCTGGCTTGACCTATATTTTTTAAATGAAAAAATGAAACTATTTTTCTGTCAAGCTGGCAGTTTTCTTATGTAAAATTCAGTTTATTCGTGAACACAGACCTTGGGTGTTAAACTTTAGCTCACTTTTTGATGTCCTTCCTTCTAGTATGCTGCATGTTAAATTATACCAACAAGGCCTAAATTGAATAAAAAATAGATTTACACCAGCTAGATTTATTTTTAAATTTCAAATATCTGATCTGTTTATAAAATTATCTTAAGATTTTAGCCAGTTTAACAACATAGGTATTGAAGGGATTCAGAATGCTGAAGGTTTAGGGCTGTCTTTGAATGGCATGCTTCTTGGTTAGGGGAGACAATCTAACTGTACAGATAGCATGCTCTAGCTGTACAGATAGCATGCTCTCATTGTTTATCCAATGTTACAAGGTCAGGGTAGCCAGTTATTGTCAAAGGTATTCATACTGCAAACAAAAAACTTCTTGACTTTGACCACTTTATTTGACATTTCAACCCATATTGTTATTTAACTTTCTGAAAAAAATATTTAATAGAGATGGTGTATTCTAAAGTTTTTCAATTTAAAGTTTTTTTGTTCATGACAAGCCACCTAAATTCAATTCCTCTTTATTTGAGCAACTTTAAATTATCAAGAACATATAGTTTTCTTGGCCATTGAAAAATAGAAAATCTGGATTCAAGTATGGTTTCTAACCACACTTTTTTCTGAGCCTTGTTTTACATTTATATTTTCAATGATTTCCTACTTTGAACCAAAAAAGGTTAACCAATGTTTGGAAGAATGATTCAAATATACATATACTTTGCTTCTTTGTTGCTTCACTATAATTTTTCTGTGGAAGTGTTATTAACCTGTTTGTCAAAAAGTCTTTTCCTTGTGTCTTGCTGGCTATTATTTTTAATGTCCGACCCTTACCAAATTTCAGTAAAAAATTGGATGATCATTGATTGTTAAGTTTTGTATTTAACTTGTGTTTAATGGTGATCTATGAAACTGTAATTTGCATTGTGCTAGTTGGATGTTGAAAAGGCATTCAATTGTTAAAAGCTTGTAAATCTGCTTGAAATTTGACTATACTTTTTGTATGAATTAATCTATGATCAAATTCAATTTCAGGCTAGACACCTTCTTGAAGAGAATGAGGTAAAACTTGTGGAAGTCAATAGGAAGGTTGTAGTTATGAACCACGACATTGAGAGAGTCCAAGAGAAGGCTTCAAGTCACGAGGAAAGGGTGAATGTGCTGGAGCAAACTATCAAGTCAACTACCGAGTATCTTTGCAGCCTTGAGGAGCGGGAACTTGAATCTTCTGACAAAGAGGCTTTGAATGAAGAAAAGATTGCATTCTTAGAGGGTCAAATGAAGGAAGCTGAAGTTCGTCTTGAGGCTGCTGATAGGCAAGTGCAAAACTTGGAAAGAGTCATTATGGAAACTGAAAATGAGAGAAGCGCCTGGATAACAAAGAGGCAAAATATTGAAAAGGAAATTGCAGACATCGAAGGAATGGATGATTTAGCTGGGTGAACTCTTGAAAAAAACATCATCAAAACCATGTCATCTTGTTTGTAGCCCTAAATGAACTTAATTTTTATTACTAGTTAAATGTTACTTGAGTTCTACTGAATCATTCTTAGATGGAATCCCATTGAAAGCTGACTTTTGTTTGCAAATCATTTTCCCTAATGTCCTGAAAAACAAATATAGTATTAAACAGAGTGGGTTAATTTTGAGTAATTTTAATTCTTGAACAGTAGCATCCATGTAAATAGGTTTTTTTATTGCTTTACTCACTACAGTGGCCTGTGTTCCCAGGCCCTTTCAGGTTTTCTTATTCTGTTTTTTCGAACTTGCAAATTTATTTTCTGAACAGCTTGTTGAAGTATCAATGTTGTAGAGCTTTTTATGCAATAATAAAGATAGCAAGGAAGTCCTTATAAAAACTAGGTTGTAAAGGGCAATTTTGATTAGAGGTAGAATGATGAGCAAGTTCAGCTGGAACTCAATAACATTTTACTTGTAACTTCTTCTTGACTTTTATTGGACAGTCTATTTTTGTATTTAACTTTTGACTCTATTTTACAAATATGAGAACCATTTGCTGCTCAAATTTGCATCATCATTTCTGTTAAATCTACTTTGACAAGCACTGATTATAGTATTGCAAATTGCTATTGCACATCATATCTTACCTAATTGTGTAATCTTGCATAATTTTACAATCGTTGTTAGCAACACATTTTGATTAAACATATTTAGAATTCCTTTTTAAATTTTCTACAGACTGCAGTGCTGCTGTGTTGTTTTCCATGTTTTCCATGTCACTCTTAGATATAATATCTCAACATGTCCTTGTGGCAAAGAAATTTATTATTTAAGCAAGGCATCAATCAAATTGATTCATCATTATGAATTTTCATGTATCTGTATTTTTATATTTTTGAATGCAATACTGAAATAGTGGGAAAGCAGTTTGAATGCATTTTTCAAAAAAAAAACATAATATTTGATTACGACCTTGCATTCCTGACAGAGAGGGACAGAATTAGAATATTGAAAAGCAATCCAGTGTTTTCAGAACTGCTCTTTTGTGATATGGGGGGATGTCATGAATTTTTAGAATTAGTTGTTGCAATAATTAATTGAGAATTGAAAGTTGTAATACTGGACCTCTCCTATCCAGATAAAGCATTATTCTCGGGCACAGATGCTAAAAATATTTTTTTGTTGACAAACAAGTACCATTATTCTGAAGCAGCATTGTAATATTTCTGTCGTTTCAAAGAAATTTCTTGCAAAACAAGTGTTACGTCAACAGTCAACATATAGAGCATTTACTTGGTCAAAATTGAGGCTCCTAAACTAAACATCATCTTGTCAATGTTCCCTTATAAAAGGACTGATTCCAAAGGAAAATGTGTCCTTTTATTTCATTCAAACTTAGAATTGTTGTAACTTGCAAAAAGATAATTTTATCAACACATTAGAATATTATCAACAAAATAATTTTATTTAAGGCGACGAACTTTTCCATAATAAAATATTTACATTTGTCCTATACCTGTATCCATACCTTTTGACAAAATTGTCAAATTTCTTGAATATACTGCCAAAAATTTGTAAAGACCGTTTCAAGGTCTTATAGTGTTATAGTGTTACTCTATGCTTAAAAGAAAATTAAAGACACTATTGAGAGAAGATTGCTTCTTCACAAATTGGTGTGTGTGTGTGTGTGTAAGTGTATGTGTGTGTTACTTTATTTTCATTCAATATACAACAACTGCTAACAATATATACATTATTTAAATCTATACAAGTCAACTAATGAAAATCGAATATACAAAGCAAAGAAAAAATAAATAAACAACGTTTTCTAAATTTACAAGTTCTAAGTTCTGAATTAATTGTTAAAGTTGTTAGACAGGTACAGGCACTACATTTGCAGTTGCGACCATCCCATTTTTTGATCAAAATCTTGAAACTTTTCAGATTTTCTGCTGATTTTAGTTCACTAGGTAAACTATTCCAAATCTGAGGTCCAGTGGACTTAAGACTTTTGACCCAAAAGTTATTTTTCCTTTTTGACCCAAAAGGCGTTTTTACTAAGCCAATAACCTTTACTTCCTGACCTTGAATTGTTAGAATTTTTTCAAATCTGGTGAAACCATTTTCAAATCACTTTTAGGATTGGTAAATGTATTGCTGTATACTTTAGACCAGGGGTTCTTAATTATTTCAAATGCCGGGCCAGAAAAACATATAGATTTTCTTCGAGGGCCAATTAGTTTTCAACTTTTACATACCTTGTGTAGGCTGCTCAAAATGAAACTCAGATCTCATTTTTACCAGGCTAAGTTAGTGTTAGATAGATAGGCCTTTTATTTCGTGCATGCCTATCTTCGCATAAACCCAAAAAATAGGTTTCACAAAGGTTTGTAACCTGAGTCAGAAGTGAGTCAGAAGTGAGTCAGAAGATCGTTCTATGCTATTTTTAGGCTAGAAGCGCCTGAAGTCAGGTCGAGGGACTGCACAGCGTATTTCAAAGAAAAGCCCAAATCTCATGTTTGTGGATGTCTTTAGTCAAGGCCATCACCATGGTTGGCGGCAAGAAAAATTTTAGGTTATATTAATCTAGGAATGGCCAGAAACAACACCTCAAGTAGATTTTAACGGGAGAAAATTCAAGGCAATATTCTTAAAGTTTTCATAACTAGGTTCCATAGTTTCATCTGTTGAAATCAAAAGGAAACGCTATAAAACGATAAAATGATTAAATAAAGCATTTCCTATTTCGGTACTCCCTTCTGGACTAATAACTGTCAATAGAACGCATTTAATATTTACTACAGAGAAAAAAATCAGAGGAGACAAAAGAAAACCAAAGATAAATCGAATTCCAAATTTTGGAAATGTTGGCAAAAAATATTTTCGAGGTCAAAAGCATTCGGCGGGCCGGATGAAACTTTGCTGCGGGCCAGATTTTAAGAATGGCTGCTCTAGACTGTTTTTTAAGCATTCTTGATCTTGACAGAAATTTCTTTCATCAAAAATTGTATTTTTTCCCAATCCTATACCCTTACTTCTTGTCTCACAATTTCGCCAAGAATTGTTTTGACAATACTGATAAAAATTTGGGTAGATCGTTTTGAGGCCGAAAGTTTGTGTTGGGAGGGTTTCAAGAAATTTTAAACCGAAGGTTTCTTCATCAAAAATTGAGTTTTTTCAAGCCTATAACTTTTTTGATGAAAAATGTTTAGGAAGACTATTTTGAAACAATGATGAAAATATTTGAAGATGGTTCCTAAATATTTCTAGAGTGTATCAGTGTATGTTTTAAAAGGTTATCAAGAAATTTTGACCGTTGACTGTCTCACCAAAACCTTATATTTTTCTTACGTCTATAGCCATACTTTTTGACCTAAAATTGTCGGAAATCTTATTGATAAAACTGAAAAAAAATACGTGAAAACAGTTTCTAGAGCCTTTTTTAGGGTGTTAATGTATGCTGCTTCAAGAATAATAATTGAAATGTAAGCTTTTATCCGTGTCGGAATTTAAAAAAAACATGCATAAAACTTTATTCTCTATGGTAAATCTCTGTATGCTTACTGATTCCTTAAGCCTATTGCCTTACTTTTGGACCAAAAAATTGCCAGAAATCTCTTTGACAGTAATGATGAAATAATGTAGAGTTCTTTTTCAAGACTTTATTTCTTGTCTTATTCTATGCTTTTAAAAACTTTCATGACAAATTTTGAAAATATTTGTAATTTCTTGTTTTCTTTTAAAAAACGGGTTTATTGCGACAGTGCTGACAATTATGTGTGAATATCGTTTCTGAAACTGCAGTAACTGTGTAACTGTAATGTTTGAAGGGTTTCCCGAAACCCTTTTGACCAAAAACTGTTTTATCACAAATTCAAAATCTTCCCTAAGCAAACAGCTCTACTTCTGATCCAATACGTCTAATGAATATGTTGTAAAGGTATTGCCGAAAATATTTGAAAATTGTTTCTGAGACTTTTTAAAATGCGTTATTGTATGAATTGAAGGGTTTTAAAGACAGTTTTTACTTGTATATATATTGATTGTATATATTGATTCATAAAAACTTTACATTTTTTTTAATTTTTTTACACTACCTAAAAAGTCTTGCTTGTTAAACAATAAGTGTAAGATAAATTTATTTGAAAACATTGCTTAAAATGTGTGAAGATCGTTTCTGGGACCTACTTATTTGTGTTACTGTTTGCTCTGAGAATTGTTCAAGTCCTTTTTGAAAGAAAACTCTTTCAACTAAAATTTGGTATTTCCAAACCTACTGCCTTAATTTGTTACCAAATCTGTGTAAGTATTTTCTTTCACTTTTGATGAAAATGTGTGAAAATCATTTCTGAGACATTTTATTACTGTATAATACACTTGAGTGTATTGCTGTATGGTTTGAAAGGTTTTTTAACCGTAAATTGTTTTAAAAGGATTTCGACATTTTTCTAAGCCTATAGCCTTACGTTTTGACAAAGTGTGCAAAAGTTGCTATGAATATGCTGCTTAAAATGTGTGAAGATCAAATTGAGCATTTATTGACCGTATAACATTTTTACGGATTTTAAAGTCATTTTGACCGTAAATCGTTTCATCAAAAAATATTTATAAATATATACTGTGCAAAGTCTGTCTTGTTGTCTAAATATCTGTCAGGGAATTTTTTAAAAACCCTGATAAAATATCTGAAGATTTGTTTAAAGAATTTAATAATTCACCTTTTTCAAAGCAGACAGAGGTAAAAAAATTCACATTTTTGTAAGGTTATAGCCTTAGCTTTGGTAAGAAAGTCACATTATTTTGTAAAGTACAGTTTGGCCAGTTCGAAGGTTTCCCGAAGACCTTCAAAACTATATAAATGTCTGCTTTGGAATGCTTTCAATAGATAATTGACCTAAGAATGCTAAAATCAAATAAATTTTTCCTAGGCCTAAAGCTTTTTTATCAAAACGTGTAAGAAACTTTTTGAAAAGAACTGCTAAAAATATTTGGAAATTTTTCTGAGACTTATTGTTTACATCGCTGTACGTTTTAAAAAGTATTCAATAAATTTTTAGCAGAAAATTTTCCTTCAAAATTTGCATTTTTTATCCTATTGCTTTTCTTTATGACTATTTCTTGAAAGTTCTGCTAAAAATATACAAAAAAGGTTTTTCAACTTTACTACTTGTATCCATGTATGCTTTAAAATTTTTGGAAAAACACTTTCGTCAAAAATTGGCACTTTTTCTAAGCCTATAGCCTTACTTCGTGTGCAAAAATTGAAAGGAAATTTCTTTATAAATACTGCTTAAAATGCATGAAGATAACTTCTGGGCCTTTAGCAAGCGCATTGCTCTATACTTTGACGGATTTTAAAGATATTTTGACCGTAAATTACTTCATCAAAAGTAGATTTTTCCAGAGAAATTTATTTTTAACAGAACTGATCAAAATATGTGAAAAATCTTTTTTAGAAGCTTGAATGTGTAAAGGTCATTCTATGCCACTACTAAGTGTATTGCTTCATATTATGACGTATTTAGAACACATTTTGAACGTAAAAATTTTCATAAATAAATGTATTTTCTACGAAGCCTATAGCCTTAAATTTTGACCAAAAATTGTCAGTAATATGTTTTTGACAAAACAGAAAGATGTGTGAATGTGGTTTCAAAGTGTTACAATATATAGTTTTCAAAGTTTTTAAGACGATTGGGATATTTTTGCAAGCCTATAATCTTACCTTTGGTGGAAAAGATGCC